TACTAATGTCCCTTCACAAGAGTCAAACATGCCTATTACTACAATATATACAGACAGCCCGTTCCGGAACTAACCTACAGGGACATCCCAACCCACCCCTCTAGCCCCAGAAAAATACCAAATCACACCCAAAGTGCATTTGTTTTGTTTATATCAAAACATCTTTGCCCACCCCACCCTCAGCCCCTCCCACCCCATTTAAGATTGGCCTGCAAGTCTATTTTAACCATTTAGTAATTTTTTATAGCTTATGAAAATAAATTATACAGTAACTATTTTTAATAAATTAAGCACAAAAAGGGAGAGGAAAGGAGAAAAACTAAATGGGAAGATAAAAGCCAGGCCACGCTTTGGCTTGGAGGAGGGCAGGGGTATGGGTGGCAGGTGGGGGCTGAAGGGCAGAAGTGGTTGCAGGGGGTGTGGTTCCCCTTTGGTGAAGAATTGGCAACTACCCAAGCACAGAATGACACCCGCCTTGAGTTTCTTAAAAATAACCAAAAAATGTACAGCAGTGGCTATGCCACAGGCAGCACCAGTTTGGGAATTCCAATACCTGGCCTGCCCACAGCGTGGTGCCTGGATTATGCTTGTCCCTTGGAATAGGTTCTGGGCCTAACAGCGAGGGAAGGTCCCTGTTCAAGGGAGCACCAAGGATGAGTAGTCAGACCAGCCTTCCGCTCCACCTGAGCTGGGTAGGGGGCTTAGGATGCAGTCTGAGCGGGGCTGTTACCCTGGGTTCTGATCAGGAGTGCCCTAAGCTTTCCTTGCACTCTATCTCCAGGGGCAACTATGAGATCGCAGTCCAGCTGCAACCAGACATGCATGTCTTCCGCCTCGGCTGGCTGCTTTTCGCCTGCCCCTTGATGCCTCTCGGCATGGCAGAGGAGCAGGGCTGGGAGACGGGGAGGGAGCAGTTCCAGGTACCCTCTACATGAGATGAAATGGGTTTGAAGGCAGGTCACAGACTCAGCATGCAGGACTGGCTTTCCGGGAGGTAGAGGGGATGGGAAAGAGATGGGAGGAGGGGGTAGAAAGGACAGGAAGGAAACAGGAAAGAAATGGACAGCACCTACACCAAGGAAGGTCAAGTAGGGATAAAAAGGACAAAGACAACATAGAATCTGCACGTAAAGAAAGGTCTTTCTCTGGCAGATTAGAGTCAATATTTTAAATACAATTCGTATCTATTTTTCTGGCTGCAGCACCCGAGTCCCAGTGCCCGTCTCTGCGGTCCAACCCCACCTCACTCTTCCCAAGGCTTTGCTCTCCATCCCCAGGCCTCCTGTCATTTTGTGCTGAGCAAGAAGGCTCCAATGTCACAACAGGAGAGATGAGGCGCCTGGCAGACTTGACTTTGCCTTCTTGAGCTTTGTGGCCCAATAATCTGATCATAATCATGGCGGAAGGGGGTCACATTTTTTTTTCTTTTTCTTTTTTTAATAAAAAAGGTTTTACTCCCCAGGAGCAAATAAATCATTTTGAACTACTAATAAACACTGCTGCAGTGAAAAGAAAGATGGCTACATGTATGCAATAGCACAAATTCAGTGTAAGAACAGCTGTGTTGACGATTAAGAGATAAAAATCATTCATCTGTTCCCCCTTTCCCACAGACAAAACCAAGAGGATTCCCATAGGGAAAATGTCTAACTCAAAAGCTCCTCCCTTAGGGACAGGGGGCATGTCATTCTCTTAAAAGTGGAAAACAAATGGCAAGTCTCCCCGCAATGGAGATGCTCTCAACACCCCAACTGGTGACAAGACTTCCACAAATGAAGACACACACACACCACACACGCACACACAACTCTCACACTGCCTCCTGCAGCCACAGCTCTATCCCAGTGCCCAGTCCTCCACGCTCAGGGCTCAAGGCCAAGGGAGAGGCAGCAGGGCAGACAGATGGAACCTAAGGGAAAAGTTCCTCCCACCCCACCCCCTGCTGGGCCCTGAGGGCGCCTAGCAGGCCCAGCTCTTCTGGGGGCTCTAGGTGAAGCCTGAATGGGCGGCCACCCCAGGGCATCAACTCCACTCCAGTCTCTTACACCCAGATCTGGGACCACTAGCCACCCTCCCTGCTCCCCAGTTCTTCCAGGATGCACACTGCATGGGTGTTCACAGCTATTTTAACATCATTCCCAGCCTTAATAAGGGGCCTGCAAAATCAGCTAAGTGAAAAGGAGAAAAGAGGTGGAGGAGCATAAACCGGGCGGCGAGCTCCTGGCCAGGCCTTTCCTCACGGGAGGCTGACGGTTGCAGTCCTCGGCTCAGACTCCAGTGAATACACATTCACTATAATGAGCCACAGGCAGGAGACCAGGCCAAGGTCATCACCAATGGTCCCCAACGTCACCCATTTACCTAGTCCCTACACCAACCTCCTCACCCTCCTTACTCCTGTGCTCCTACCACAGCACAGAGTTTCAAGCAATAGCGAGTTGTAGCAGTAGTTGAAACTAGCTCACAGTGAGGAAGGTTCCAGCAGATCAACCTTAAACAAGTGAGGGTTACACAGGCAGGGCCTCAGGGGACTGACACCACCCACCCACCTTAGCTATCAATGAGGGGTCTCTAGGAGTGAGAGCCTTTTCCAGTTTGTGACTTTAAAATACAACCAAGAAGGAGTAAGTACCCTCCGTAGACTGTATTTCAATTAGCACTGCACAGAATTAGCAAAGGAGGGCGTGGGCCCAGCCAGAGAGATGAAGGGGAAGTGCTGACCACAGGCTGGCTGCGCCGGCTCCCTGTTTACTCTGAGCAGGCTGGCACCTCCGCCACACCCCTTCCTCCACGTCTGATGGAGCCTGTCTCCCCTTGTACTACTCTGCCTTTAGCCCACTCTACTGAGGAAGGACTAGGCTGCAGCCTGGGCTATGACTGAAGCACAGACAGATCTCAGGCACAGGTAAACACCACCCTTCCCAGGAAAAAGGAGGACAGGGTGAGGCTGGGCCTCCTCAGAGGGTTTGCACTTGTACCTGAACACAGGAAATCTCCAACAGAAACCCTGGTACCACAGAGGGTCCGGGAGCTCTGCCTCCCTCACCCAGGCTGCACTGAGAGCAATGAGGTCCTTGGCCATGGCAGGAACCCAGGCGACTTCTGGCTTTGGACCCAAGTTTACCATCATAAGCCCTCAGCAATCAGGTCTGCCCAATACCTGGAAGTTCCGGTCTAGACCACTGCACTGAAAATGGACTCTGAAGTGCTTCCGCTCTAACGTGGGGCTGTGCGCTGTTCAGTACACACCACGCAGATTTCTGCCTCCGTGCTTTTGGTTCCTGTGTTTCTCAACTTATTGTCCTGCCCTCGCCCACGATCCAAAGCCTCATCGCCTCAGCTTTCCTACACCATCTGTCTACCCTGCTCTTACCCACTCTGAATTTCTTTAAACACAGCCCCTGATTCTCTGCCATGGAGTCATTCTCCAATTGCTTCATGTGTGGCAGTCACCTAAAAGGTCATGAAGGCCAGATACCCTGTCTCCACTTCTTGTGTTTTCCTCCATATCTAGCCCAGAGCCAGGCAAACAAACACTAAGAATGGTTTTAAATTATAGCTAAAGTGGTCAAAAAAAATCCCAGGTAGCTGCACACCAGCCACTCAAGGATCCAAATGGATTCGACTTCAGGCTCTACGGTGGTGGGGGTGGGGTGGTGCTTTCTGCAAGCTGGCAAATTAATCTGTACCCTCAAGAAGCAAGACTCACAGGTCAAGTCCATTTCTGGGATCACAGTCTTAACTGGCTGGTAAGACTACCATGGAGGCCAGAAAGAGGGACCTCCTGACAAACCAGAGGTGGCTGTGTTTATGGTTCACAGCTCATTTTTGGGGCCACCTCTTCAGAGGCAAATAACAATGCACGTTTCCTCCCTGCTCAGCTACAAGGTGAGGCCCAAAATCACTGGGCCTCACCCCAAGCCATCAGGAAACCAGAAACCTGACAGTACTATTTAGGCCATTGAGAAGCACTGGAGTTTTTCGTCCTCCTTCTCACTTCCACTGGAAGACTGGCAACTCTGAAATCAGCATCTGACAGAATCCCAGTCAAAGGAGGACAAACAGGATCTGACTCAGGAAAATGTTTGGGTTGCCAGAAAGAACACAGGAAAATGAACATGATCTGACAATGGCTTGCTTCAGAGAATTGAGGGCCATTGAGAAGCACTGGAGTTTTTCGTCCTCCTTCTCACTTAAGGACATCCTATTACAGTTGAGACACTAGAGAGCTTTCTGTAGGAAGAGCACAACCATGATAGCTTCGCTTCACACCCTTCCTCCACAGTCCCTCTCACTAGCTGACAGACATCTGGAGGTAAGTAACACTGGCTCCTAAGTCATGGGTACGGTTTGCCATTAAGAATCTGGAGGCACGCTCCATTAACTTTAGCAGCCATGATTGGAGCGCTACTGCTCAGGTGATGAAAAAACTATTGCCTTGACAGCTGGCGAAAGCAATAGGAATGATGTGACCATGACCATAGTGAAATGTACAGTTATCTTGGGGAACAGGTTGAGGATGGAGAAAGAATGAGGTTAACTTGAGGTCACAGAGCTTAAAAATTAAATAAAACAAAACGAATCCAGCTTCTATGAGAGGTGATTCTGAAATCAGGTTCCTAAATTAAAAGGAAAGGATTCAAGGAGTCACTACTTCCCCCAGCAGAGGCCATCTGCCAGTTTTTGTGCAGTAATCTTCTGAGACCACCCACCTCTTTCCTTCCTGCTCCTACTGAAGCTACATATGCTTAAAGAGAAGCAGATTCTCATCCTCCAGAAACTCCTAACTTCATTTGCACTGGACTCCTCCCCTTCTTCAAGGTCAATGGTGAAGACTCGCATCTGCCTTTGGCACCAGCTGCTTGACCGGCACTGGCAATCCCCAACCCAACCCTCCTTTGGACCTGCTCACCCTTCACACCACTTCCAATCCAATGGGCGCAAAACCCAGCTGCCTTTGAGTTTTCCATACCAAGAAATGTAAATATCCAAAACAAAAGTTGTGAAAAGGGAACAGTGTTGAGACTTCTTCCAGTTTTCCAGGAGCTCATCCAGTTCCAAGACACCAGATGGGCGGATGGGAAAGGGTGGAGCCCCACTCAGACAGTGTGGTTGTGTGCTTCTTCCAAGCCCCAGGGTGGCGAGGGGGACCAAAGTCTTTGCACAGAGGATCCCAACCCTTCCTAGTTCCTCTTGTTTTTTCCTCACTCCTCTTTTCATGGTACCTTCATTTGGTTCTTCAAAACCGGAGCTTGGCAACCAAATGCCTAGTGGGGAGGGGAGGTAAAAGAAATTAGAGTGGCTCACCAGAGTGGAACCAGAAGAGAGTGACGTGAACAGCCCAGCCTCTGGAGTGTAGCTCAAAAGGAGAATGGAGCCAAACACTTCCACAAACACTGTAGCTGGCTGGGGATGCAGCAACAGCCTTTGTCAGGAGGCCTGAGTAGCCTATAACCTGGATGCCAAAAACTGGTTCTAACTTCCCTCTTTCCATTTCCCTTACTCCTTAATTTTCCGCCTATTTCTACCACCCTCCCAGCCTAGGACTACCTACTCTAGGGATTAAAAAAGGAGCTGAGCCCAGCCAGCGTGGCTCAGTGGCTGAGCATCAACTTGTGAACCAGGAGGTCACAGTTCAATTCCCAGCCAGGGCACACTCCCGGGTTGCGAGTTCGATCCCCAGTAGGGGGCGTGCAGGAGGCAACCAAGCAATGGTTCGCTCTCATCACTGATGTTTCTATTTCTTTCTTCCTCTCCCTTCCTCTCTGAAATCAATAAAAATATATATTTTTTAATATATTTTTTTTTTATTTTTTTTACAGAGAGGAAGGAGAGGGATAGAGAGTTAGAAACATCAATGACAGAGATACATCGATCAGCTGCCTCCTGCATACCCCCTACTGGGGATGTGCCTGCAACCAAGGTACATGCCCTTGACTGGAATTGAACCTGGGACCCTTCAGTCTGCAGGCCGACGCTCTATCCACTGAGCCAAACCGGTTAGGGCAAAATATATGTATTTTTAAAAAGGAAACTCCACACTAATGATGGGGATGAGTTATCACGCACCCCATCATTAGAATGTGAGATTGTGCATGTAAACCAGTGATTCCCAAAGTGGGCGCTGCAGCGATCCAGGGGGGCGGTGATGGCCACAGGTGCATTTGGGGGCGATGAGTAACTGCTATTAAAATTTTTAAAAAATTAATTTCCAGGGGCTGAGTAATATTTTTTTCTGGAAAGGGGGCGGTAGGCCAAATAAGTTTGGGAACCACTGATGTAAACCCACACTACCAAAACCACTATTCTGTGGGAATTTGGTCCCTACTCACATCTACTTTTCAATGTTCACCTTAATGAAATTTAAAAGACTAATTAGAACTCATCTGCACAAACCAGTATTCCACGATATTTTATGGGAAAATAAATGAGAACTTAGTGTAGCAATGGGAGAATAGCCTCTTAGAGAAGTGAATTCCTTAGCTAATTCACTTATTCTATTGAACAATTTACTTTTCAGTGGCCTAAATGGATCCCTAAAGGGAAGAGTGAGCTGTTTTTTCTCTCCCCCATCCCGAGCCATGGGACACAGTAGAGCTCTCAATGAAGTGTATTTCTATTGCAACTGAAGGCATGTTTGTGTTTCCTTTGATAAAGATTCCTTTGGCTTCCAGCTTTGTATATCATTTGTGCAATATCAGGGAGCTCAGCCGAAGTATGAGAGAAGGCTGAACACTTAGTTACATGTGTGTGTCCTTCTCCTTCTTCATATCCAGCAGTTAGCCTGCACGTTGCTTGGCAAAAATATTCTTTAAGTCTCCCTTGTCTACCTGCTCTTTTCCAATTGGGGTGCCCCTTGGGGATTCTGTTACCAGATGTGGTAACTCTATGGGCAGATGTTTGGATACACACGGGATGGTGGGGGTTGGGGGACAAGGCCCATGCATGATGACAACTGCCCAGGAAGAGACATGGCTGGACGAGAGGCAGAGAGCTCATACCCTCAGTAGTGACCAGCAGGGCCCCTCGCTACGTGGACGGTTCCACCTCTTGCTTCTGTTTGGAAATAAGCTGCGCTTCCTTTAGAGACAGGTATACCTCTTCCTGAGGATCATAGTAGTAGAACTTTCGGATATAAGAGATCAGAGGTCTGCAAAAAACATAAGAGGAATACACACAAAGTGTCATTTACGTAGACTGAAAAGAAAGACCACCTTTGTTCAACTCTTCCTTCTTTTCAATCCCTATATGGTTGAGACTACACCAAACACTTTGCAACCCTAACAAAATTCCCATTTTCTCACTTTATTATAGTTCTGTCTCCTTCCCTCCACCCTTCATAGAGACTGCAGAAGGGAGGGTGACACACACACCTTCCTCCCTTCTGGCTGCAATGTAACAACAGTTCCAGAGCTAGGTGTCAGGACAAAGGAGAAGTGAAACCTGTGAACACTGCCAGGCTCTGCCTATGCAATTGGCTCGCAGGCCTCACTAACATTTGTAAGTAACCCTCCCTCCTGCCCCAACCCTAAAGACCACATCATACTTAGGCAGTGGGAGATCCGGGATGTGATCTATCCGGACGAGCTGTCGGATTCGGAATCTGCAAAGGTGCTGTAGGGATTTGACATTGCTGAATCGGGACACTGGATAGAGCAGCTGCACTGGAGTTGGTGGCAGTCCTTCAAGAATGAAAAACCAAGAGAAATATTCAGTAGGAACAATGCAACTATGACTTCCCTGATGAAGAGTTCAGGGAAAGGAAATGGGCTTCTTTATAGTTTACCTATGTGTTCTGTGCAAAAGCTTCCTTCCACAAAGGCTGCTGATTCCCATTTGCAGAACTACAACTACTATATTTCACTCAAGAGAATCTATTCTTGACCCTTACCATTGCCTTTCTAGTGAACACTCTTTCACCTTCCCTGTTCCGTGGAAATGAGCTGAGAGCTCTCCCCTCTGTTTCACATGTAAGTGTAAGATGCCTGGATCAGGGACAAGGAGACATCTCAGAGTGCAAACTATTCACATGATGCCTGGACATCGGAGGAAGGATCAGTTTTCTAACTCATGTGGTTAGAGAAGCAAAGGTTCCTTCTCAGTATACTGAGGAATTAATGTACAAGGGTAGGGGACTAACCACTGGACTCTAGAAAGAGGGTTTCCTATAAGAGCCAAGATAAAAAGCTTTAAGCAAGTGTGGCCTATTTTGGAGGGAGGGTGCATTTTGATACTATACTAGACTATACCCAAGGAAGTTAAATAATTTTATAATAACCACAGCCATACCTGGAACCCTGGATCTCAAGAAATAGAGAAACTTCCCATTCTTAGAGTGCATGATGGCTCTCTTAATGAACTCCACCACTGACTGACAGCGATCCTCAAACTTGGGATGACACCATAGGCTGAAGGTTCCTACCAGTGAAAATTAAGAAGAGGTAAAAATGTAAAACATTTTAAAAAGACCTGGAAAGCTGGTTTGCACATTTTTATGATTCTCACTTTTCAGAGGGCAAGACTTTATGGGCAAGCTGAATCAGACAAAGGTCCCTGAAGCCACCTGTTCCTACTTGTTCTACAGTTAATGGAAAGAAAGATATTGCCTTTAATAAGACATAAATTAGGTCTTACAAGGCTTTTGTTAAAGTAAATAATTAGTTCAAGTCAGAAAAAAGATATAAAAATACTCTGTTGAAATTCTCTTAGCAATATTTTTTTCTGATATATCTCCTTAGGCAAGAAAAATAAAATAAACAAATGGGACTATATCAAACTAAAAAGTTTTTGCACAGCAAAGGAAAACATCAACAAAACAAAAAGACAACCTACTGAATTGGAGAAGATATACACCAATGATACATCCCATAGGGATTAATATCCAAAATTTATAAAGAACTCACACACCTCAACAGCAAAAAAAAAACAAAAAACTCCAAACAAATCCAATTAAAAAGCAGGCAGACAGTCAATGATTTTCTCTCATCATTGTTGTTTCTCTCTCCCCCTCTCCTTTCCTCTCTAATATATATATATATATATATATATATATATATACACACACACACACACATACACACACACACACACACATAAAAAATAAAAAGGAGGCAGAGAACCTGAATAGACACTTCTCCGAAGAGGACATACAGCCCTCTACCTTACCCTCTCCCCTTCCCCCCTCCCTCCTTCCCTCCCTCCCACTCTCTGAAAAAGTAATGGGAAAAAATATCCATTGGTGAGGATTATATATATATATATATATATATATATATATATATGTACATAGTCTATGGTAAGACTATGTATGGTGTCAGGTAGGTACTAAACTTACCAGGGGGATCATTTTGTAAGTTATATAAATGTGCAGTCACTATGCTGTACACCTGAAACTAATATTGAATTCAACTATAATTGGGGGGAAAAAAGACTGCCATAGCAAAAGCGAGTTTAAATGACATTCCCCTCAAAAAGATCCAAGTTTTCAAGTATTCATGGGACAGTTGAAGAAAGAAAAGAAGAGAGGTTTTGTGAGTATTACCCATTCATGTATGTGTTGGCACAAAAAAATCAAATTCTAAGTCTTTCCTTTAACTTCTAAAATTCTATGCCCCAACATGTTACAAAGATCCCACCCCAAACTTCAAGATCCCAAAGGTAAAAGGGAATCTGAATTTCCAGGACTTCAAACAAAACAAAACACAAAAAACTAAAGCTCTAAATCCAAAAGAATCACCCACAAAGGGGATACTAAATCACTCAAGAAAACTGCAGATCTGAGTCTCTCTAGCTACTCTTACAGTATCACTTAAAAAGACGAAGACAAATGCTCTATTGCAAACTGGCAACCAAAAGGCCCACAAGGCTTCTATTAAAAATTCCATTTATTCAAGAAAGAAAAGTCCCTTTCAATAAAAGTAACTGGAGAACCATTTGAAAGAGCTCTCTCATTCCTGGCATCTCACCTATCAGGAACCTAGAGGTCAAACATTTATTCCCATGGCCCAGTCATTTATTTTAAAATAGGTTTATAAAAATACTTCACTCTGAAATGCTTTGTTTTGCATTTGTTTGTCTGATTTTTGCTTTTAGGAACAGTAGGAAAATAGGCAGCAGTCTATCCCACAGTGATCTAACTAATGAATGCTCAGGTCTTTGGACTGAAGTTCCTTTCTCTTCATGCATCTCTAAGACAAAGGTAGAGGCAGAGGAAACCATGCTGACCTAAACAGCTACTTCCTGCCTCACAAGAGAAGCAAACCAAATAAATCCAGCAGAACATGGCTGAGGGCAGGAAAGACATGGTGGTGCCTCAGAAGAGCATGAAAGAGACTCGTTTGAGATGGATGTCTAATACAGCTCATTTAAGGGGGTCACACATGGGAAGAGTGTGAGAGATGGGAATCCCTAAAACTCCCCAAAGTTCTCTATACTTTTAAAATTTATAACATATGCAGATATTTCAACAAATGATATATTATCCAGTCCTACCACCAATGACTGTCACAAGTTTCTGGCCCAAGTTAAGTACAGAATGCCCTGCTGCAAAGTTAATCCAGACAGTGGTGTTGAACTAGTCATCTTCTAGACATGACGGCAACATTAAGCACAACATGACCACACAGAAAGGGGTACCACCTGGGAAGCAGGTAGACAGTCTATAAAGCACGTTGGTTTCACAAACTCTTGGAGTTCTGATGACTATTTCTTAAGAGACTACAAAGTTGACCAAGAGAGAATTTTCATCACCATGCTGACTGGCACAAGAGCTGATGTGACTATCAGGCAAAGAAATTCAGAACAGAACAGTCCAGTATTGCCGAAACCGGTTTGGCTCAGTGGATAGAGCGTCAGCCTGCGGACTGAAAGGTCCCAGGTTCGATTCCGGTCAAGGGCATGTGCCTGGGTTGTGGGCACATCCCCAGTAGGAGATGTGCAGGAGGCAGCTGATCGATGTTTCTCTCTCGTCGATGTTTCTGGCTCTCTATCTCTCTACCTTCCTCTCTGTAAAAAATAAATAAAATATATTTAAAAAAAAAAAAAAAAAAAAGAACAGTCCAGTATCAACACTAAATTCTCCTCTCTGTCCATATGATTTAATAGAAAGCATCTCTAAATGTTAAGTTTAATTATGAACAAAGTTTGGGAGAATTTGTCTAGGTTATTTCTTTTTTCTACCAAGAGAGTTTTACTGGCTTTGTTCTGTTCTTCAATAGTCTTGTTTAGCCCTAACCGGTTTGGCTCAGGGGATAGAGCGGCGGCCTGCGGACTGAAAGGTCCCAGGCACCGGTCAAGGGCATGTACCTTGGTTGCGGGCACATCCCCAGTAGGGGGTGTGCGGGAGGCAACTGATTGATGTTTCTCTCTCACTGATGTTTCTAACTCTCTATCCCTCTCCCTTCCTCTCTGTAAAAAATCAATAAAGTATATATATATTTGAGTTTCTCAACTTATTGTCCTGCCCTCGCCCACGATCTAAAGCCTCACCACCTCAGCTTATATATATATATATATATATAGTCTTATTTAGGCCCTCCTATTTTAGGAAACAAGATGCTGAGAATACTTTTAAAAGGAACCCTTACTCTCATCCCTACCCCTGCCAACTTTTCTTCTAGTGACTGAAACCAGTGCCCATATCAGCATTCAATTGACTCTATGAGATTCTTTCTCCATTTCTATGAATGCTTCCTATGGAAAAGTCAAATAGCAAAGGCAGAGAAAGGTTTCCCTCCAACACTAGCCCCTCTTACCTCTGTAGTGCTCCATTCTAGTGTGGTGGGTGATACCCTGTGACCGAAAACTGAGGCTCAGGATATAACGAGGATCAGAGCTGTCTCGTACCAGGAAAGAACCATCTGGTTTCCCTTTCAGCTTCATCTCTGCATCTTCCCAATTCATTGGTCCCCAATACCAACCACACTATCAAAGATAAAAAGCAGTCAAGTGGTTAACAGAACAGAGAAATGTCAAAGTGTTCAGCACAATCTATCTCACCATAGGAGAACCCCATTTCCAAAACATTTCAGTAGGGAAGAGCTGTAGGAGTGTCTCAACCACTAGCAATACACACCAGGCTCCATATACGTTTAACCCTCCAAAGTAGCAGAAGGAACATTCTACAATTCCATTACCAAGGCCCTTCAAAGAAGAGAAGGGGGACCCGAGTCAGTCAATCTGCCACAATCAGTTTAGACTATGTAAACATTTCTCCACGCCTTTCCTTATCACATTCAATTCCACCACTACCCCCAAGTTTCAATTTTACAATATATTTTATAGAATTGATAACAGTAGTATCTTGCTTTGTCACTATAAATATAGAGACAAGGAAATTACTCTCCCTGTAAAAATAATACAAAGGGAGCCAGGTACAGAAATAGGGAGTAGGAGAGGAGGCAAGCCTCCAGTGCTCAAGTGCCACCTACCTTCTCCAACTCTCGAAGGCTGGCTGCAAAGCTGCTCGAGTCGGGCCGGTAGAGGGGACACTGGAGGTGTTGGGGGGGCTGGCTGTGCAGGGATTCAGCTGCTCGGATAGGAGCAATCCGCGGAAATGCATCTGTAAGGTGAGAGAGTGGTGGTCACTCGCTTACCCTCAATGCTCCCAACCACTAGTACACCCTCCTCCCAAAACAGAGATGCTAACTGAAGAGGGGCGAGGCATTAGAAGCTAAGCTGGAAAGGGTGAAAGCCAAAGCAGTGGGAAAGAGCTGATGGGCTGGAACAAAAAGCTGTGTGGGCTTGTGTAAGCTGTGAAGGATGGGTGAGGGCACTGAACCCCAGGAAGCGGGTGGGGGGCTGCTCACTAACCTGACTAAGGTGACTACTTCAGGGCCTTCACCAGCCTAGAGTGATTCCAACTTCTCCCACCTCGAGGTGAAGTGCCGGGAAAGCAGCCTTGGAAATAGTGACTCGCTTACTTGCCCAGGAAGTGTAACGATTTTGCCAGGCAAGTAGAAAAAAATGCCGATTTCATTCATTTTATTCCTTGGGTACTGGAGACTGGCAAAGCAGGTATGGGCTACTAAGTGCTTGCTACATATTTACAAGGCTGCAGTCAGTACTAAAAGCTTAGAAAAACCACAGAACTTTGAAAACCAGCAATATATTAAACCTCCTCACTGTCCTGAAATTAGTTTCCTCAATGATGTCTAGTCAAGGATTAAAAAAAAAAGTCTCAGTAGCAAAAAGACGAAAAAAATTCAATTGTCTTTTATTTCTAACAAAAATCGAATTCAACTCCATAAATAAAACAGGTTAGAAAAATCAGTTCTTGGCCTCATTTCCAAAGAGTTCTATAAGCTTTCTCATAAGTTCTGTCATTTCCATAAATAGATTTCTCCCATCCTTCAAAAAGTTTATCATTTGTACTCCCAACTCTTGCAAGTCTCGTCTCTAAGCTAAGCTAACCTGGGGCATGGGGTGGAGGAGGCGGAGGTAGGGGGAAAGACTGCAGGGAAGACCCCATCGGAGCCACAAGGACAGATGTAGGCAGCGTCCCACTGATATCATCTAGAAGAGAGAACAAAAGCAAAAGGTTCAGAAATATGAGCAGAGACTGAGCAAGGCGAAGCAGAGGAGGCAGAGAAGGATCATCAGGCTGCCCTCTGTGGCAAGATGGCCTGCCCTTCACCCCGTCTTTTTGTACAGAGGGCAACAATCATCTTAATCTGGTTTCCTCTGCAGGAAAGTATGGATATTCTTAAAGCAGCCCACTAGCTGTAGATTCAGGGCAAGATAAATGCAGATCTAGTCAACACATGGATAATAAATGCTGTAATAGCATGCAGGTAAGACACTCATTCAACCACTTACGGATAGGACATAATTGGTTCATCATTAGAAACCCAGGAGCTTGTAGGCTCCTGGCAAATAAAAACAGGTCCGAGAGCTCCCCCTCCCACTAGAGCAAGAAGGTAGAGAGTGGAGGAGACTATACCTAGGAGGCTGAGGCTTCTTCTCGGAGGAGGAGGGGGAGTTGGAGGGTGTGGAGAGGCCAGGCCCCGCTGAGAGATGTCCACATCCACAAGCGATACTGTTTCACCTGAGGGATTCATGGAGCAAGCACGTTACAGAACACCTTGCCCAGAGCTGAGGCCAGAGCAAAGGAAAGCGAAGGGCAAGCAAGGGAAGTTAGAGGTCCCTGGCTCTCAAAAAGCTCAAAATCTAATGCTCCCAGGGCTGGAATCACCCCTAAACACCTGGGAAGTCAATTTTAAATGCTATCATTTCTTTACCATCTTAATGGTCAAGGATTCTTTAAGGATAAAAACATGGGCTTGACAGTGGGAAAGTCAACTCATTGTGACTCTGCCACTGACAATATAACCTTGACCAAGCCATCTTTATTCAAATGGAAACCATTTATTTTTACAGACTTGCATACTAATTTCTGCCTTAGGGAGCAAAGCGAGCAGCTTGTTACAAGCCCAAGTGAACATAGAAAGCAAGTGCCAAAAACTGTAAGCTGCATGGTACACTGCATGCAAATACAGGTCCCAATGTTAGCCCTAACTTCTTCCTAAACGGCTTTCCATGTCTAGAGTTTTCACACTATTCATTCATAAGAGAACCCACTTCACATATGAATTAGTTCTTAGTAACTGAGGCTACAAAGGTTGAAAAGTACATTTACAACCCTAATAATTAACTACTTCCACAGTCAGCCAAGAGTCAGGTAAGCTTAGAGGAAGCTTCTCAGTAGGAAGTTGATTGGGGGTGGGAGGTTAGGGAGATGACATGTGGTTTCTCTTTACTTCCCAGCATGTGATGCAGTTCTGTTCTCTGCCACATACATTCTTCCTCGCCACCCAGCCCCATCTACCCTCTCTCCATTGAGTCACCAGAGGATGAAGGGTATTTTATTAACTAAGGATGACAGCCAAAAATAGGTCAGAACTCGGGATTTCTCTAATTTGAGGGTGTTATTTCCAACATCTTTTTCTTATTCAGGAGGCTCAATTAGCCCCTAAGCTGGATTTTATTATTAGAGACCAATGTCTCTAAAAGGTCAGGAGCAGGGCTTTTAGAGCCTAATACACAGTTTTGTTTTGTTTTTTACAAAGTTCTTGAACAAAGTTCTTGAACATAGATTAAGATAAACAGAAAAGCTCTTCTAAAAGTCATCAGTGCAAGTTGTACTACATACTGGACTCATCACAGAGCTTAGTAACCGATAGCCTAGATGCCCAGAGCAATGCAATGAACCCAGACAAGCGTGCCTCCTGAAGGGTCAGAGAGGTCTAGGTTGTAGGAGTAGCACCTCAATAAAAACATCATTCAAAAGAGCTAAGCTGTGTGAAACAAGAACACTTCAAATGTGGGTTCCTTACTTTAGAGAGGAAACAATTATTAACCAGAAGGATATATTACTACAGGATAAGATTCTTTAGTACTGGCCGGAGCCGGTTTGGTTCAGTGGATAGAATGTCGGCCTGCAGACTGGAGGGACCCAGGTTCGATTCTGGTCAAGGGCACATGCCTGGGTTGCGGGCTCCATCCCTAGTAGGGGCGTGCAGGAGGCAGCCGATCAATGATTCTCTCTCATCATTGATGTTTCTATCTACCTCTCCCTTCCTCTCTGAAGTCAATAAATATATATATATGTAAAAAGATTAATTCTGGGCTTGAGGTAAAAACAGAGATCTCCTTCTTCACCTGTGCCTATTACAGGTACCAACACACTTGTTCTGACAGCTCATGGCTATCTATGTAGTAAGGGCTGGGGGTGGGGGTCCCACTAGCCTGCTTAACTCTGGAAATGTCTATCCCTAATCATAATTCTTCTAATCATCTTTTTGAGGGACACAGTACCAAAAGAGTTTGAAATTGGGATTTAAAAAAATCTTCTCAGTCACAATCAATGAGTGCCCAGTTTCTGAGACTTGAAGCAATGTGAAGACCTTCTTTTATGCAGCGTATTCAAGTGGGAGCTTCACATCTGACTGACATAACAAAAGGGCTCCCTCTGAAAAAGTTCCCCATTAAAGAGAAGGCAGTTGCCCAAAGGACATTCAACCGCTTTCCTTCTTTAGCAACTGTGTTCCTTGCTCTTAGATGATAGACTTAAATTAGACACAATGAAGAACTCTAACAGCTGCAAGAAATGCTAGCCCCTAAAATGGGTAAGTCAAGAGTTCACGTAATCCCCTTTGCCCAAAGTCTTTAAAAATAGACCAGATAATCATGGGTCATGTTTATTAGCTAATCCATGAACTCCCTTGGAAGCAGAGACAGGAATTGTATGATTTCTCAGGAGTCCTTCATGCACTGCGAGCCTATAAATTTGTAATTCCTCCTTTTAATTTATAAGTGATGACCCTGAACTAAGGACGGCGTAACTGCCAGGGTCACTTAATTACCAGCAAGCAGTCACTCCTCAACCTATAAAGCATCCAAAGTCAAGAACACATTCTACACCATAAAAATAGCCCCACCCCAAACCTAGCAGGCAGGGAATGAAGAAAATAACCACAGAGAGGCCTGAAGCTCCCTCTGCAATGCATCCATAAGTGTTTCCTGACAGGTCTCAGAACACTCCTGCTTTCAGATGTCAGAAGGAAAAAAAAGAGAGAGAGAGAGAGAGAGAGATCACCCTTACCTGTGAATAGGGGGCTGAAGGAGACCGGAGAAAAGGCACTTTGAGTTCTTGTCAACCTGGGTTTCCTAGGGGGTGAAAAGCACAGAGAGAATAAGGGCTGGGGGGTGGTTAAATCTCTACAATACTCAATTCCATATGCACTGAAAAACAAAGCAAACCCAGTCATTATCAGCAACACTTTTGTAATAAAGCCTAAAATTTAAAGGGGGAGAATAAAATAATTAAGGCAATTCCTTAAATAGATCTGGCTACAGAATTCACCAGCCTACAAAAGCATGAGAAATCCCTTTGGATCTCTCCTCACCCAGCACATTGAAAGAGTAAAACACCTTGAGTGGTAATTAGCAAGTCTATTTCTAGAGGAAGTCAGAAACACAGTTGATTTGCATATGGGAACCAAGAAAAAGCCTCTCTGGGCCTGCTCCTAGGACAGCAGGTCGCAAGGTGAACCAGAGAACATATTTGGGTTTGAGACCAGCACTACAGGATGCACATGTAATCTTCAACCACGAAAACATGCACCAATGTCTCCAAGCCATGGGTTAAAGCCATCAACTAACAGGGAGGCTTCCTTAGGTTAGGGGCTCTGCCTGGCACCCAAACCAGATGGCCCCTTCTCCTCTCTGAACTGCCAGTCACACAGTTGTCCTTGTGATTTCCCCTTGATGCTGCTCCAGGGAGCGAGCTGGAAAAACCCAGATCTCCTGTGAAAAGATAGACTTTCTGGCTAGAAATGTGCTAAGTTTAATACTTTCAACAATAAAGATAAATTTTATAAATAAAACCGTGCACATTATTTAAAAAATCACCTCAGGATGACTGAACTGACGACCACTAGGAAAGACTTGTGGAGGTGATGAAAATATGCTATATCTTGATTGTGACAGAGGTCATGATGACTATATACTTTTATCAAAATTAACATGTTAAGCGCCCAGTCAGTCACCGGTGACCGACGCTATACTTTCTGTCCGGAAGAAAAACAGGTTGGGTGCTTAACATGTTAATAGAACTGGACACATAAAAATGGTGAATTTTAGGTGGTATGTAAGTCCGACCTCTATAAACCAGACTTTTAAAAAACTCCCACCACTGAGCCCACTGTATGGGAGAACATATTTGGCAATGATACATCTGATAAAGGGTTAATATCCAAAATATATAAGGAACTCATACAACTTAACAAAAGGAAGACAAACAATGCAATTAAAAAAAGGGGACCAAAAAAAATGGGCAAAGGACCTAAATAGATACTTCTCCAAAGAGGACATACAGATGGCCAAGAGACATATGAAAAAATGCTCAAAATCACTGATCATCAGAGAGATGCAAATTAAAACAACAATGAGGTATCACCTCACACCTGTCAGAATGGCTACCATCAACAAGTGACAAGTGCTGGCAAGGATGTGGAGAAAAGGAAACCACAGTACACTGCTGGTAGGAACGCAGACTGGTGTGACCATTATGGAAAACAGTATGGAGTTTCCTCAAAAAATTAAATATGCGCCAGCACCAGTTTGGCTCACTGGATAGAGCGTCAGCCTGCGGACTGAAAGGTCCCAGGTTTGATTCCGGTCAAGGGCATGTACCTTGGTTGCGGGCACACCCCAGTAGGACATGTGCAGGAGGCAGCTGATCGATGTTTCTCTCTCATCGATGTTTCTAACTCTCTATCCCTCTCCCTTCCTCTCAGTAAAAAATCAATAAAATATATTTAAAAAAAAAATTAAATATGGAACTGCCATTTGACCTAGCAATCCCACTTCTAGGAATATATCCTAAGAAACCCAAAGCACCAATCAGAAAGAATGTATGCGCCCCTATGTTCATAGCAGCACAATTTACAATAGCTAATATTTGGAAACAGCCCAAGTGCCCATCAGCAGATGAGTGGATAAAAAAGCTGTGGTACATTTATACCATGGAATACTATGCATCAGTGAAAAATAATATCTTACCCTTTGAGACAGCATGGAAGGACCTGGAGAGTTTCATGCTAAGTGAAATAAGTCAGTCAGAGAAAGACAAGTATCGCATGATCGCACTCATATGTAGAATATAAGTAACAAAATAAACTGATGAACGGAGTGGATCCAGAGACATGGAAGCATGGAACAGAATGTGGAATCTCAGGGGGAAGGCGGGGGAGGATGGGTAGGTGGGAGGTGATCAACCAAAGACCTTGTGTGCATATATGCATGGCCCATGGACACTGACAACAGGGTGCTGAAGGCCTGACGGGGGGTTGGGAGGGAAGATGGGCTAGAGGGGGTCAATGGGGAAAAAGGGGGACATATGTAATACTTTCAACAATAAAGAATTATAAAACAAACAAACAAAAACCTCCCACCACTGATTTGAGGGCCTGACTCTGGGCCTTGTAGCTGGCTCACCTTCCAAAATTATTCTCACCCAAAGGACTAAATGAAACTTCAACTGCACCGATGCAGGAGGAGAGGTGAAGCAAAGAAAATCATATTTAAAATTATTTTATTTTAGATCTTTATGCATTTATGTTTTAGCATAGATATCTGAGATTCTCAGAACTCACTTCAAACAAAATTTCAAAACCTACTGTAAAGATCTTACTCAAAAATAGCCCAGAAGCTAGATTTCCGCTCCCGAACTCCCTCTGCAACCTCCGTCCATGCTGAGACACAAGACGTCTAATGATGGTGCCCATCATACTAGTAAATGCCCCATCCATGGCACCCACGGGAGAAATGGCTGCATCATGCAAGACACAAGCATGATGCATGGTCCCTGTTTATAAAAGTTACTCATGACAGTCTGCAGCTTAGTTCCAACACTCCAGAGGGCTGAAATAGAAAGTTAATTCCACTGGACATGAACTTTAAGACTGAGGAGCTTCCAAACTGATTTTTATTTGATAACTATGGGTACAATATTAAACTCAGCAAGGAGAAACCTAAAGCACTGGTCTTTCAAAGGGTTCACACCTCAGCCACTTGGCTGTTTGCCTCTTTTCAAAGGAAGCTGCATTACTCTGCCATCTGCCCATGCTGGGGACGAATCTCTTCAGTGCCAAGTACTGAAGAACGGCAGGACCCAAATGCACACAGCTTGCGGAGGCCTTCTCACTCCACCTCATCTCCTCCCCCGCCCCCAGCATTTTGAAGAAGGAAATCATAGTTTCTAGGATCTGGAAAAAGAAATACATATGAATCTAAACCCAGGCACAGTCATTTAAGAGCTCTGGGATGGGTTTTTTCCTGGCAAATAAGGGGGCCTGGAAGCTTGGAGAGGTAGGTCTAAGAGGCTGAAAGGCTAATAATAAGTGTTTCTTTCTCTCTTCGGGGAGACGCTAACTGAAAATCCAAAGCAGTTTCTGTCTCAAGGATCCTGGGAGCATTCTAATGGCAGTCACTCATGAAAAGACCAATCTAGATGACGATTAAAAAAACAAAGCAAGGGAACGATTAACATAAAATTGAGTACGGTGGTTACAGTAGCTGTGGAGATATAATCAGGAAACAACACACAGGGGTCTTCAAAGGTAACTGATAACATTCTATCTGCTAAGCTTAGAGATGAGTACCTAGGTATACATTTATTATTATAGTGCACACACACACCTCCTTTTGCATATATGAAACATTTAGAATGATAAAAGCTGGATGTGCTGTTTTTGTGTTTTTTTTTTAAAGCATGAATGATAGGGATAATATTTTTAACTAACCTTTCTATAACCCATTCCCATGTTATTTTATTTCTCCCCAGATCACCTTGACAAGCATTAGGGTTAACATTGTTAACTTTGCTAGTGGGCGATGTGCATCTTAGTAGCAGAAAGACTTGGGGGTGGGGGGTGGTAGGATTTGGTGGGCTATGCCTCAGGTGGGTGGCAAGAGACCTTAGGCAAAGGTCTTCTTTGAGGCTAAGTTGTCCTTTGTGACAGCTAAGCACTGCCTGTGCTGCAGGTAACAAAGAGACAGAAGGCCTCTGTCCGTCTCCACTCTGAAAATTGCTAATTGTATGGCAATAGATCTGTGGGATAAAAGGAGTTAAAAGAATTAGACTAGACAGGCCGACAACACACTGATATAACCATTGGCCACTTTTCAAATTCCTTGAAACCTAAAATATAAACAATGAAATAGCAATGCCTTCCCTTCTTTGTCCATTAATCTCCTCTACTGATGCCTTACGACTTACACATGTTCTTTTCTACAGTAACTTCCAAACAAGAATGTCCAAATATCAGGCTTTACAGCCGCAAGTTACCTCTGCCCCTGCTAAAGCACACAGTGCCAAGTCAGCCAGCCTGTGCCATTTTCAACACGTCATAAGCCAGTGTCTGTTCATGTGCTACAGGCACAAAAACCATGTGTTCATTTTTAGTTCCAATACACAGACATCTGTGCAGCAAGGTCAGATCCAAAACTCCATCATAAACCAACTAAAGAACCTATGGAGGGAACTTCCAGGGAAAAGCCAAAAGGTATAGTGCAAGGTCGAAAACCTTAGGAATGATGTTAGCAGGGGAAATAAATATTAAGGAGTGAAAGATACAAGACTCAAATGGACAGAGATTTCTGAAGCCAGGCTGCTCGTTCCAAACAAGAGCTGCCAACCACAACCACAACCACTTTGTGAAAAATAGTTAAAAAGATCAATAGAGTATGGACCCAAAACGCAAATGTAGAGTCAGAACTTCCTCATCACACCATACAATCATTTTGCTCTCACTATGTCATGCTATTTCTTAAAACTACCCCCTTGGACCTGAAGACCCAAGGAAACAGAGAAAAGGATTTCTCATGTCTGCCAATTCTGTCCACAACAGCAGGGTCCCAAACTGATGCCAAGGCAGCCTGCCTCTCTTCCAGAATTGTATCTTCCCCCCCAAAACAAATAGATAGAAAACGACTACAGAACTGTTCTCCATTTTTCCACTTCACAACTATGAAGATCGATAGTAATAGCCTTAGCCATTAACTCAGAAAAAAAAAAACTTAAACAATGAAACTTTACAACCAAGTGTGTATTATGATAATTTTTTTTAAAAAGTCAGATCAAATACCATTTCTCACCAAATATAAAGGAAGACAATCAGCTCAACATATGTGAAACAGTAAAGGGAACTTCTCTGGTTTTCCTGAAATAGCAATTCTATATTACACTGAAGCCCTCAGGCATCAAGCCCAGCTCTGTAAATTCAACATATGTGTTAAAGGCTTAGCCCAGTCTCCACAACAGAAACCTGGTTAGTTGGTGGGCCCATTTCATCCTTCACTTCAGAGTTCTCTAAGCTAACTCATACTAGATTGAAGACTCAAAATAACCAGGCAGGTCCACTTAGCACACTCTAAAACATCGGAAAGGAACTAAAGTGTTTCTTAATGTTAAACTATGGAAACTGTTAGCCTTATAAAATGATTGTAGGAAGTATTTTCTAGTGGTAACTGTGGGAAAGGTAGATATTAAGCAGAGCAAAGAGAATCATGTCCAGAGGTTACTGTAAAAGCCCCAAATTATACAGCAAAGACTATAGAGATTCCAACCATCATTAAGGCGGAAGGCATATACCTTCTGGCAAGAGACTGAGATTTCTCACAGCTTCCAGGTCCTACCAATCAAAACAAGAGAACAAGCTAAATATCCAAATGCATTCTTCCTTCCTTAGGAGGTGCAGATCCATAGAAATCACAACTACCCTGGCCAGACTTACCAAGTTTCTCACAGCTGCAAGGCTGCCAGCAAGACTGGCACATAGTAAGCTGTGTAACAGCTAACAAGCAAATCTAGCATTAAAAAAAAAAAAAAATCACCAGTTCAATCTTTATTACTTCTCCAAAAGCACAAAATATTCCATCTCCACTTCTCTTGTCTTCACTCTATTCCTACAAGGTCAGGATAGGGACCTTGTTACTAAAGAATAAAGAGACAGAAGCATGAAGAAAGCAAAACTGGCCAGCATCCCACAGCTGATGCTGGAGTTCTACATGGAGTCTAGGTGTTCACATTCTCTGTCCAACAAGCTGCCTAACAGCAGTCAACCGAACGTTCGTACACAGATACCTAGCTCTCCTCCAATTCATCAGAAAAAGCCCTTGGACCAAAAAATGTAATTCTCCAGTGCCCTGAACTAAGCTTTGCAGATCTACATCCCAATTTGCTCTGCAGCAGAAATCTGTATTGTGCTTAGTGTGAGGGTTGGTGACAGAGCAGCCAATGACCATTAAATTCTGCTTCCAAAGGCAAAAACCGTATAATGTTATATGCCTTTTCCTCTTCCTAATCTATTAGACGGAGCAGCTAATTTCACGCCACACCTCATATCTAGCGTCTCTGGAATCTTAGACCAAGGCCTGGTCAATATGGAACAAAGGCAAGACAAATCACAAGAAAATTAGCAATCTGTCCTATGTCATTGCCCACAGCTTCAATCCTGCCCTCCCCCCATATGATGAAAATTTCATCTATACTGGTTAAGTGGAGCATCGAATGCAGAGCCTACTACAAAAGAGCTGTTTCAGCAGCCACACACTTTTTAAGACCTGAGCATGAGTTCGTTGGAGGCAAATGCAGAAACATAGGTCTACCTGAAGGGGTAACATGCATCAACCTACTGATTTCTTTAGGGACTTTGGTTTGGTTTGATACCCAAAACAAGCTCCTGGCTCAGCTGTTCAGGAAGGGCAGCAACGTCAAAGTAACCCCACACTTTCCTTTTGGAGGACCCAAGTTCCCTTGAAAAGAGAAGTCGATGGATGAGTGGTTCCCAGTCCAGGTCATACTTCAGGATCAACTGGGGAGCGTTTTAAATATCAAATTCTTGGGCTCTCAGACATACTGATCTTCCTTTTCTCAAAGCTCCCCGCGTGATTCTGGTGCACAAAGTTCTCAATCTACGTGTCCCTGTTCTTCAGCCTTGGGTTGTGGCTGCCAGTGTGTCTCAAGAATCCATCACATGAGCTGCACCAAAACCAATTCTAACCTTTCTAAGAATTCATTCAGCAGCACAAACCACAGTGGCAGTTACCACAAGGGAAGTCTCATTTCATTGGCACAAAAGGTGACAGCTTTCTAAACCAATATACTGGATGATAGAGAGCAGTCCACCCTTCAGAAATGTTTGAAAGTTTCATCAATTAGCCTGGAACTCATGCCCCGATGCTTCTACTACTCAGACTTGGAATTCTCACATGGGCTTGACAGCAGAGCTATTTTCTCTTCCCACGGACAGTGGTCAGCACACAGGCTTGAGTTACCAAGTACATAAGAGACCAACCAACCAGGAAAACATGAAACCTTGGTGCTGAGAGGCCCAACTGATTGTGGGCCTACAACTGATCACATCATCTGTATGCATGAGTGTGAAGGGAGGGGGTGGGCTGCTGGTAGAACAGAAAGAGGAATAAGCAAGGTGGTCACAATGCAACACCAACTTTTTGTCCCAAAGGACAAACATTTCCAGCCATCGCCTTGTGAGAGTTCATGGTAGACAAACACCCACCTTGGGAAAACTTTAAAAGCCGGGCCAGGCTAGGGGTGGAGGCATGGTTTCAAGTCATCTCTGAACTGGAGGGATGCTAACCAGGTGAGAAACGTCAAGGGGAATGAACGCAGGGGGAAAGCCGCTTCCCCTAATTAGCTCCGACCTAATGAGCCATGTCACCACCTTTCAGCCCCAATTCTCTGCCTCCTTACGAACACCATGGCCTAAGAAGGGTCAGGAGCTCGTTAGAATACAAGGGAAATGAAGCACAAAAGGCAAGTTTGGCGGCCAGGCCCCCAGCGGGTCTTACCTCCCGGCGTCCAGCTCCCGGCCGGCAGGGCCTCCCACGTCCGTCAGGCTCGCGGCCGAAGCAGCCAGCTCCCCCGCAGGCCTCTTGCCGGCCCCGGACCCGCCACCGGAGCCACCGTGGCAGCTCTTCGTGCGAAAGAGGCGACTGAGGCGGATTTTGAGGGAGCCCTTCCGAGAAGGGCCTGTGAGTGGCCGGAGGGGCCCGGCAAGGGGCGGGGGCGGCGGCGGCGGCGGCTGCTCCCCTCGACTCAAGCGCCCCGGGGGCACCAAGTCCTGCAGCGGAAAGGGCACCGGGGGCAATTCGTGGCCCGGGGGCTGCAGCAGAAGCCGGCCCCCGCCGCCTCCTCCACGGCCCGGGCTGCTGAGCTCCTCTTCCGAGCAGCTGTTGGTCTCCAGGCTCTCGGCCTCCGACTCCAAGCCCTCCAGGACCAGCAGCGCGTCGCTCGTCTCCGTGGGGTCCTCCCCGGCCTGCGGGGTGGCAGCCGGCGGCTGGGGCTGCGGAGGGGGCGGCTGCGGGGGGCACGGGCATGGGCAGCAGCCACCAACCGTCTTGACCGCCGGCCCCACCGGCTGCCCGAGCCCCAGAGCGGCCAGCTGCGCCTCCAGTCCAGCCGCCGGGCCCCAGGTCCGCTCGAGCGCCAACCCCGGGGGCAGGGCCTTGGGGTCCAGGGCACATCGGTGCCGGGGACACAGCAGTTCCGAGGGTCCGGGCTCCGGGGCTGCCTCCGCGTCCTCCTCCTCCGGCGGCCGACCCACGTTGCGGAACACCATCAGCTGCGGCGGCCGGGAGCCCCGCGCACCGGGCCGCGCGAGGAAGGATGGCGGCGGGGGGCCATGGCCCGGGGGCGGCGGCGGCGGGCCTGGCTCGGGGGCCGCCTCTCCATAGCCGAGCAGGCGGCTCAGGACGCGGTACGAAGCGGCCGCCGCCTCGCCATCCCGGAGTTCGGCCCCCTGCATCGGGGAGAGGGAGGGAGGGCGGGCGGCTGGGAGCCGGGCTGGGGTGGGGACTAGGCCGGGCCCCGCCGGAGCCCCCGCCCGCCACGGGCCCCGGAGCGACAGCGCTAACGGCCGCCGCGGCCTCAGCCTCATAGAGGGGGGCGGGGGGCGCGCGGAGGCCAGCGCAAGCCCAGGCCGCGCGCCGCCACCGCGGAGGCCAGCCCCCGGATGGCGTCATTTCCGGAAGGCTGTGGCCACGCCCCTTCCCCCAGGGCGGGCTCGCGCCGGCCTCCGGGGAGCGTCACGTGACGCGCGGCCTGGCCCGCTATTGGCCGCGAGCTGCTTCTCGCTTGGCTGTTGGTCCCTGTCCGACCCTCGCTTTTCACTTCCCGGGCGCTCAGGCCGCAGCCACCGCTGCCGGTGAGGGGGTCCAGCCCTGGGGCTCCAGGTCGGTCCGGGAGAGAGCTGCCGGCCTTGGGAGTCACTCGGTTTCTGGTCCCGCCTGTGCCGCTCGCGATGTGTGACCGATCCAGGCGGGGTCATTTCTTCATTGACGAACTGTTTCACCCCTGGCATGTAGTGAATGTTTCTGTAATGACACATGGATAATGTGTCCTGAGACTCAGAGGCGTCTGATAAATGTTGAACTGGCACTCTGGGGGGAAAAGGAGATGTATGCAGATATATGTATAGAATACATAAGTTTAGCATACATTGTACTGATGTAAAGATATGTAGCACACGATTTACAAAAATTCTATAATAAATAATAAAAGGGTAATATGCTAATTAGACCCGACGGTCTTCGAGTCCAGTGGTTCTCTAGTCCAGTGGTTCTCAACCTTCCTAATGCTGCGACCCTTTAATACAGTTCCTCATGTTGTGGTGACCCCCAACCATAAAATTATTTTCGTTGCTGCTTCATAACTGTAATTTTGCTACTGTTATGAATCGTAATGTAAATATCGATTCGTAATGAAAATCCAGGATGTATTTTCATTGTTACAAATTGAACATAATTAAAACATAGTGATTAATCACAAAAACAATATGTAATTATATATGTGTTTTCTGATGGTCTTAGGCAACCCCTGTGAAAGGGTCATTCGATCCCCAAAGGGGGTCGCGACCCACAGGTTGAGAACCGCTGCTCTAGTCTATCTATCTATCTATCTATCTATCTATCTATATATATATAAAGCCTAAGCGACCATTATGACCAGTCGACCGAACAACTGGTCGCTATGATGCACACTGACCACCAGGGGGCAGACACTCAATGCAGGAGCTGCCGCCTGATGGTCAAAGTGCTCCCACAGCCAACCTCCCACAGTCCCTCCCCCTCCCATCCCCCGACTTGGCCAGGATAGGGACTAGGCGAGATGGCCTCAATAGGCCCCAATTGCTGGCCAGGCCGAGGGACCCCACCCGTGCACTAATTTGTGCACCCGGCCTCTAGTAATAATATACAATTGCAAGTTCCATGTAACCAATTGATTCTCACAGAATGCTTTCATTGATTTTTGCCAAGCTTTTGAAGGGTAGCCCTGTGGTGTCAGGTTACCAAGAAGTGAATGTTGGTTAATATTTTCCTCTATGTCAATGTAAGAGGAAAGTAAAAAAAAAAAAAGACAGTCTTAACTGTCAATTATGGGAGTGACTTCTTTGCTGAATCAGAAAACTGAGTTCAAATACTGAATATGTCCACAATTTTTGTTCTATTCACAATGAAATGGCCACAGACATAACACATTAAATTTAAATCTGAACTATTAACATTTTCTCCATCACTTTCTTAAGTCTAGATAATCAACAAAACACTACATTTGTATGGTTTGCCAATTTCCATGGTGTAAATACTCCTGTCATGGTTGATTTCAATCTGAACACAGAGTTAGAGAGAGATGAGCAGTAGCATGCCATTATGTAGTAGTTTCATCATGCAAATGCAACAACATAAATAATCCCAAGAACATGGATAACTCATAATAGTAAGATTATTAGGAAGTGATGAGTTTTGAGAATTCATTACCTTTGTTTTTAATATTTATTCCATTATAAATTTGTATAATTTAATTTTAACACTGGCTATGTTTAACAACTGGCTTGCAGAATTCCTGAAATTTTTATAATTGGCTCTCACACACCTGTATGAGCCAGCTCCATAGCACCACAGTTTTCTCATCTGAAAAAACAGGAATAAGGATTGCTGCTTGAGTTACTGGCAGGCATGTTGTGAAGATCAAACAAAATCAAGCTAGTTGTGTAGAGGAGGTCAGCCTGGTGGCAGGGAGACCAGTTAGGAAACCATTGCAATCGTCCTATGCGAAGTGTTTAGGGATGCAAGGGATAATGAGGCAGCAGCCAGCAGAATTTAGCAACTTTGGTACCCCAGGGTGCGCTGAAGGGAAGGGGGTGGAGGGTCTGCTATGAGTCCTGCAGCCTGAATGACCTTTTTATTTTATTTTATTTTTTTATATATTTTATTGATTTTTTACAAAGAGGAAGGGAGAGAGATAGAGAGTTAGAAACATCGATGAGAGAGAAACATCGATCAGCTGCCTCCTGCACATCTCCTACTGGGGATGTGCCCGCAACCCAGGTACATGCCCCTGACCGGAATCGAACCTGGGACCTTTCAGTCCGCAGGCTGACGCTCTATCCACTGAGCCAAACCGGTTTCGGCCTGAATGACCTTTTAAAAATGGAAATTGGTCTAATAGCCAGTAATGATAATGCTTCATGATTTCCCATCGTTCTCAAGCTAAAGACAAAACTCCTTAAGGAGGCTTTTGGGGTCCTGTGTGACCTGACCCTGCCTTTCTCCGGGCTCCTCCCACCAAGCTTCCCCTTGTTCTCTCTCCCCTGTAGCTTGCACACATGTGGCCATTGCATAAGCGATTCCCTTTCCTTGAAAGGCTTTTCCCTCTCTTTTTGCTTAGTAAATTTCTACTCACTCTTCAGATGGAACTTCTCACTACCGCGGGGAAATCTCCCTGCCTGGGCACTTCCTCCTTAGGTCCTGAGGTCCAGGACCACTCCTTGTTGCACTTAAGTGCACAGATATAATTTGTCATCTATCTGCAGAGTTGTTTGATTGAAGCCTTTCTTCGTTACTAAGCTGTCGGTTCCATGAAGGTCAGGGCCACATCTGCCCATCGTGGACTCTCAGTGCCAAGGACTCTTTCTGGCCAGAGAGTAAGCCCTTGATAATAAGTATTGAATGTTTGTTCAACCTCACACCTTATGGCTCTTGATACAGATTCATCTCATTCAGCCCAACAGAATTAATATGCTTTCTTGCCCATGAAGAAACGGAAACTCAGTTATTCACCTAAGATCACACAATTCAAAAGTTGCAGTGGTATTCAAAATCAGCCCTGTCTGATGCCAAATATTTTATTCTCTAACTCCTCTCCCTCAGCTACCTCTCAGGTGTCACTGAGGTTTCTGGAGAAAGGAAGCGAAATTGCTATAGGATCACAGAACACCTGAGACCTAGAAGACCACCTGAGATCCCTGGCTGTTTCTGTAAAGCTCTGGCCCCAGACCAGATTACCAGAGGATGCAAGGTCCGTAGCTCCGCAGCGCCCTCTGCTGTCCTCTACTTTTTTGGCCTGAAAGGGAGCTTGTCTGCCACCTGGAGTATTTCCACCTGGAGTATTTCCACTCTGTCCCGAGTACTCAGAGGCACCGGGAATGCACACAGCCTCTTTCTACAGGAGGGCAAGGAAAGCTGCCTTCCTCCATTCCCGTGGATGTCCAGGCCTGTAGATCCCAGCAAAGGAAGTATATCTGTGTGTGAGTTGGGTAGGTGTATGTTTGTTGAGCAGATTTTGTGTCTACACATCCCTCTTTCACTGAGGGCGATAAAAGTGGCCCCCGCAGTGGTAGAACCCTAGTTTGTAAAGTCTGTGAAGAGCAGTTCAGATCATGTAAACCAGTCTCCAGGTTCACTTCAGTCGCTCAGCAATGCGCCAGGCTCAGGGTACAGTGATGAGTGCGAGGGGCTCAGTCCCTGTCCCACTGGAGCTTGCCATCTCGTCTGAATCCTAATCGTGCCATTTCCTGGATGTAGGACCAAGAGCAAATAAGTAAACATCTTTGAACCCGTGTTTCATTTGTAAAAGCAGGTCAGTAATAATCTCCCTCCACTGGGCTGTTGTGGGGATTAAATGGAAACTTACATGTACATGCTAAGACACGTTACAAATGTTAGTTGTTATTACTATGAAAAGTTTCTTGAGGGGAAAAACAACTTACTGTTATGTCTTCACCCAGTGTGTTTTGGACGTAAATAATGGTAACTGGTATCAGCAAGAACATGGAATGGTGCCCAGCTGGTGTGGCTCAGTGTTTGGGCATCAACCTATGAACCAGGAGGTCACGGTTTGATTCCCGGTCAGGGCACATGCCTGGGTTGCTGGCTGGATCCCCAGTGTGGGGCGTGCAGGAGACAGCTGATCAATGATTCTCTCTCATTATTGATGTTTCTCTCTCTCTCTCCCTCTCCCTTCCTCTCTGACTCAATAAAAATATATATATTTAAAAAGAATATTCACCTTACATAGTTGTGGGGAAGATTAATTGAGGTAATGCATATGAAAAACACTTTATAAACTGCCACAGTCTGTACAATCACAGTTATATGAATCTCAGCTTCCCACCCTCGCCATCCCCAATCTCAAATTCCGGTTCAGCAGCACGCTGTCCAGGGGGTACAGGCAGCCAAAGCAGATTGCCAGGAGATGCAGCCTGCCCCTTTATCATGCCCATCGCAATTGCTGCCAGGAGGCTGAATGGGGAGAGGGGTGGAGAGGGGAGCACGGGCTCATCTGCGGTTGCTATGACATCCCATCCCGGATTTTCCCATCTCTCATAATGGAGCAAAGGG